GTTGCAGTTGCTCCCATCATGTTGTGGACTCTTGAATATGTTTCTCCAATCGCAGCTCTAAGCGATCAAATCGCTCAATCAAGGAGTTAGGAGGCGGTGGTTGGAAGGCTGGTGACAGTGCTACGTACGTTGGTGCCTCGGGGGCTAGTGCTTCCCCTTCCTCATCAAAATCATGTTCCTCTACAGGTGTTGCCCTAGGACGGTCGCTATAGAGGATGTGGGAGGAGCTATCGATGAAGAAGATAGGGAAGTGGTTTGTTGGGAAAGGATACATCAGGTTTTATTTTGCATCTAATACATAGGCTATGATGTGTTATAGTGCCAGGTTCTGTCTACAGCATGTCCTAGGGTTCCTAATGATGGTCGGATTTTCAATGTAGCGGATAAGCATGCCTGCCACATTAAATTCAGTGCCAATCATATAGAAATTTATGACAACAGATAACAGAGGTATAATGTTGACCCTATCGCCAACTTTCGGGATAATTAACGTTCTAAAAACGTGTTGGATAATACAGGCATCCAAGACTAATGTGCTGACTAAAGGCTAATATTGGTTCATTGGGGTATTTCTAATAGTGAGGTTGACCTGGGTCCAATTGTAATCACCAATAGTACAGAGACATCGTGGGTTTTTATGCCCGTGGTAGAAATATGTAGAAGTTCGTGAAAAATCTTGGTATGAATTCCTACGGGACATTTACAAATGTAAGATTGCATAGTAGTGCGTTCGGAGTTTATTCTAAGACTTAACAAAAAATTCAAAAAGCATTCAAGAGTAGAAAGGAAAGGCAAGTATTAAGGATAAATTGGAGTGCGGTGTCGACATATAGATCTAATGTCTAACATTAAATGATATCCTAGTTTAGGTTCCTAGAATGAGTGATTTGAGTTGCTCTATAATGTTGGTACACTGTAACATCTTTCTCAGATTAGAAGCGATTGTCTACACGTGTTCGAGAGGGACCTGATTCAAGAAGTCGAGATCGCTTGTCATCCATAAGGATTTTTAAGGACAAGAGAATATGAGGAGAAGGGGTTTAGAATAGGATTTTGTGTGCTTACAATTGAAATTTGATCTCTTACTTAAAAGGCTATGTTGGATCATACAATACGATCAACATCGTATGGTACGAACAAAAAAATCCAAATCATCCTGTCTAATATGTATCAAGACTTGGTCAAATTATTCAGTATGATCAGGGATCATACAATACACTTGGGGATCATAAAATATGATCTTCGCCTTTTTGTTCATCTAAAGGGATCAAATGTACACTGAATGGATCATTCATAACAAACAGGTGTTCATACAGTTAATATGTAATTAAGGATTGTATCGATCGAATTGAAGTTCGTTCAACATTTATTGTCACATCATTCATACAATACGAATATGTGTTTGTACAGTACAAACCTCAATACCTGGCTTAATTTGAGATGTTGGCTTGAGTGGATGGTTGATGGTGTGTTGAATGCCGTGTATCATACAATATGATGTGCTGTGAATTTTAGTGATATGTGTGAAGATAAGGGACAATTCCACAAGTATAGGTACATACAAAATTCTTTGACACAACTCATCAAAACACAATAAAATAGGAAATAAATCAACATCGACATAAGTCATAAAAATAAACTACAAAACACACATACATGTAAACACAACACTAAAGCATATAACCATGCAACAAAACGACACCAATACAAATATATAAACTGTAACAAAAACAAAAAAAACACAGACAACGGTTATAGCATGTAATGATCCATTGAAAGTGAACATCCGCTATTCCGGTACCCCATGCTCTCATTGGATTTCTTGTGAGAGTACATCTACAACATCAATAAAGGGTTAAATTTGAGAACCCTAGTAAGTTTGAGTCCCTCTTTATGTTGCAATGAAAGTATGCTATGTTGTGCAGATGATGTTTTGGGCCTCCAGACCATATGTGCTCTACGGTGAATTTTGTGTGTGCAAATGCGTGCAAAATTCCCTAATATGCCACAAGAATGGCACTTAATGATGAAGATGATGACTAGATTAGTTTGATTTAAGCCCTCATTGATTTTCCACTTAGTTTTTCTCTACTTTGGATGATTACCACTTTTGTTATTGTTTTTATGTCTAACTAGTTTTATCCTCCATTTATTTTCTTTCCTTATTTAACTTGAATATCCTTGCATTTAAATTGCAGGATTATTTATTTATTTTTCGTATAATTATACTTTTTATTTTAAAGGATGTAATCTTATCCCAAATATGTTAGTAATACTAAAGTGGGCATAGGATAACTTACATATTTTTTTGAGGCACAACGTTAGATACAAATTTAATTCCACACAAGGAGCAAAAGAAATTCATTATTTTGCAGTCGCTAGGTCTTGAATTCAAGACCCATGCCATGGAAATCGAGGGAGTATACTACTTGTGCTAAGGCCCTTGTTATATATAATGACGCTATGTGACAATTTTTAATCACCAGCATTTTCTTAAATTTTGTGTGAATTTATTACTTCGAAATGGCACGCCTTGCATCATGAATGATGCACTAGGCTTTAGAGAGCCTTTATGCATGTTGTGTCATTCACTGTTGAGTGTTGACTAATATGTGTCAAAGTCACATGCTTCTGACCAGCCTTCCCATTAAGCTTCTTAATGTTGTAGTTGTTGCCAAATTGAACTCAAAGAAAGGTGGGATTGAATTAGGAAATGTAGCCATTTGCGCTGTTGTAAAGCGGATGTATGATCTCCATATTATTCTTAACATAGTCTTGGCGGCCTTCTAATTTTTTCCCTGCTCCACTTCTGGGTCTAGTCATTAGACTGTGCCATGCTGTTAATTTATTAGTTTTTGCCCCAATTTCAAAAGAAAGTTTTATTTCTAGTTTTGCATTAAGTGATACTCTAAAATTGTTTATTGATAATTAAATTATTTTTTAGGCTTGGTCTTTTCCTTCACCTACTGATGCCAGCTGGATATATAGGATTAAGTTGCTCATCTTATGGTTGTTTTTTCTACTGATTACTACCAGTCCAACTCTCTTACTATCTAAATGCGAACTGCCTATTTCTTCCTTCCAGTATGGTTTCACCTGTTTTCCCTCCTATTTCTAACAGCTTTCCAATCCCTACAATGCTAATGACTTATTCTTTGAGTGATTTAATGTCTCTTATGATATTCTTCCCATCAAAGTGACGCAAGAAGACTTATTTAGTTAGTAACTAAACAAATTTAATGTTTTTCTAGCTTCCAAGAAGATCATTCATAGATTTTGTTTTAGTGGAAGTTGTTGGCTTCCAAACATGTAACAAATTATCCATATATATATATATATATATATATATGATCTAATTCTAATCTTAGAAACGATTGGATATTCCTCAGAAGTAAACATGATCTCAGTGAACTTTCTGGAGGGGTTTGTCTTCTTTATGGCATGTTTGGAGCCTTCATGAAGATATTGTTGAGACTTAAGAACCAATATTGCGATTATGTAGAAAAAACTGAGGGGACTCGTTTCGGATGTTTTAACTTCTGAGGATATTCAACTGCCTCAATATGTCAAACTGATCGTATATGGTGTGATCATTTGGTTGAAAACTTTATGTACAAGTTGCCATTAACAAGCTGTTTATAGTAGGCGACTCTTCATCAAGACTTACTCTTGAAATTAATTTTCTTAATCTCCTTCCACTTTCCTATTTTCCAACCACTAGTTTGGGAGGATAAAGAAGAAGGTCCTTGATCAGCGGTCAGGGTTTGCTGGAGTTTAATGATTTCATGAATTAGATATGCAAAATGAAGCTTGGTTATGTGGGATAATGATCTTGGAAAGCAATCATGATCTAGGTGATCATAAAATTTTTTTGGATGATAGATTTTGGAAGAATTGATTTGAAAATATAAATTGAGTGGGGATTTAATTTCAAAGTTTCAATTTTAAAATTCAAATAAGGGGCTGCTTGGGGAGAGAAGAGAGGAGAGAGAAAATTAATTGATGAGAATTAAGGGAAGTAAACTAACTATGTCTATGAATATTTTTCTTCCTTGTTTTAAGAGTAGACCACTTTCTTTAGGAGATAATCTTTGAGTATCTAATTATTTTCAAGGGATGGCTAAAGCATAATTTGAAATGTAGGAAATTTAAGATTAGGGTTCTCTTACATTTTTGCTTTGTGGATAACTATGGACATGATCTTATTTTATCTGTAAATAAGAGGCATATAAAAATGTTTAGTTTGAAGTTGCAATAAAAATAAAATAAAATTCTCTTCTAAATCTTGCTTTTTTTTTTTCTTATTTTTCCTCTCCTTGTTTCCGGTTGCCTTTGAGGGCTTGCAGGTTTTGCATCCACAAACCCTTGTCATTGCTAAAGATCCACTTGCCAACCATTACTTGCTATTGTCCCCTAAATAAGACTAAAAACATCACCTAAATTGTTGTTTTTCGGCAAATCACAAGCTCCATCTTTGTTGCTGATCTCCGTCCAAAGAAAGAGAATGAACAATTCCAGAAGATTTAGAACTCCATGAATAAAAAAAAACATAAAAGAAGGTCAATTCCAAGAAATAAAGAGGAAGAAAAGAGCTATTTCTTGGAGCAAATGATCTGAAAAGTGGTGAGTTGTGATCCAGGAGGATAAAATAATATTTATATAATTGTCTTGAAATGATTGATTTACAAATATTTGAATACCTGTGTAGCAAGAAAAAAAAAATGAAAACCTGATATTTAAGATTAGAGAACCACTGGCCCTTTTTCTCAGTTTCTCTTGACTTCTATCAATCAAAATATGGTTTATCCGAGTTTCTTTGCCCTTCAAACTCCCTCATCCGAACAACCTACTTCTGTTCAACTTTGTTTCTGTATTGTATCTACGAAGTACAAGTGGATTGTTGTTTACTGCAACGCGATTATGGACAATGATAGCAGTTTTTGAATATTTTGTATTATTTCAAACAAAATGTCTCTCATCATATTTTAAACAAATTTCAGTTGCTTCCTAAGAAGAAACCTCTCAAAGTCTCTCATGGAGTCCCAGAAAGTAGAATCAGCCACGAACAAACCGATTGATCCAGCCCTCATGTCATGTCGAAAGAAAAAATCTGAGAGTGCAACTTTCTTGGAGGATGTCAGGGATCATATCGATGAGTTCATCCATGCTTCAATGGACGAACACAAATCTTGCTTTAAGAAGACCATTAAGAAAGTGGGTACCCGTTGAAGTATTAGGGAGATATTAGGACATCTCCAACCGAAAAAATCATTTTCCACTCCAAAATATAGTAAAACTTCAAAATGCAGCCATGTTTCTCCAATTGAATGTCATTTCTTCTTCTTTCGCGCGCTGCCTACGGAGGTAACAATCTTTGGCGTGCTTTTCTCTCTTTCGCGCGCATCTTCGGCAAATCCCGCAGTGAATTTTTTTGGTGTAGTTGAACAGTTCTACGCCAATATTGGCGCCGCACTTTTCACCTACCAAAATTTGGCGTGCGATTTGAAGTTCAAATGGAGAAAATGGCGGACGGTATATGGTGGTATGGAGTTCGGTTGGAGATGGTCTAATCCGTTAGGTGAGAATATTTTTATTAAATTTATAAGTTTCTCTGATTTTTGTTGCGCTCTATCTTGCAGATGTTTGGGATGTCAAAAGTTGTTGCCGAGAGGAATTCACAGTCTGAAGGAGTCGAGAGTTCCTTGCCACTACAGACTTCAATCTCTCAGTAAACAGTAAAGTTTGTCTCCTCTGTTGTTTTTTAAATAAATCGAATTCAGCCGTTAATTTGTTGTATTCAAATGAATTGATGAACGACATAGTAATTAATAACAAATTAAACTAGCAAATGTTGTGTGAACGGTCTGCTATTGCTGTATATTTGATATTCTGCTTTCTGTTTGGTTTTCATTTTTTCAGTTTAAAGTCAAGCTAGCTGATTTAGTTGCAATTCTGACAGTTTACTTGGATTAATTATTATGTGTGGATGCCGTCGAACGCCATCCGTAGACCAATCAGAATATGCTACATCACCCCTTCGCTCGGTACCACGTCTCAATAATGTTCGATAGCGCTCAGTACCGACTACAGCTGATGTGGCACATTCTGCTTTGGTCTTCAAATCTGACCAATTTTTGTAATTGTGACAGGATTTGTGAACCATTGATTAAAAAGAGATAATTGTATCTTTATGATAAAAAATCTAAGCCACACATAATTACAATTTATCGATGGTCATTTAAGAAAAAAGTTATCATGAAGGTTCTCTTGTTTTGACTTTGGTCGGTCAAATTGATCTCGGTAATTTTTATGCAATTATTTATTTATTTATTCATTCCACGAAATTATCAAATTGCTTCTGAAATAGTTGGGATAGGGAGTTTTGTATTTTGGATTCTGTCCAATTACTTCATATTCAGCCATTCAATTTAGTTTAGATTGCTTGATTTGAAACTTATTCCATATTAGTAGTTGGAGATTTATTATCATAATTGGACAAGAACCGAATCAGTCTGGTGTCTGATTTACGGCAAATTAGTACATCCGGTCACCGGATGCAGAGAATAGGCTCGGACATTCAATAAAAAATTGTCACGTCACCTGCGTTTTGACTGCGCTTTATGTGCGCTTTGACTGCGCTCTTTACCTACGCTTTTGACTGCGTTTTGCTTGCACTTTACATGCGCTTTTGACGCGCTTAATTTAAAATAATATTTTATTAATATCCGGATCTATCTCTGCGTCCTTTGTTTGGATGCAATAATTTGCCCTAATTTACTTAATTGCTGTATGGATTAATTCTGGTTTTGACTGTATGAAAGTTCTTGATTTCAATCCAAATTTGAAATTAAAGCTTCGTTTGGGATGATTTTATTACTGCTGCTTAAAGTAATTTTTTAGTGCAAAAATTTTAATTTTTGTACTTAAAAGTTTATTTAAAAAGCAGTAAGAAAGCCATGAACGAACCCTAAGTTTGGAATTTTATGCAAATAGTTTGATTTTGCTTGGTTGAACTGAATTTGATCTATTTATTAAAAGTTTCCAAATTCTATTTGGTCGTTTTGTTTCATTTTATCAATTTTTATGAGTAAAAATTCTATGAATATTAATTTCAGGATTTGATTTGTTGTTGGAAACTTTAAGATCCTATCCATTATTTATGCATAATCTACGATTCTGAAAGCTAGATTTAATGGTGTTAGTTTTCATGATTTTTTAGGCATTGATCTTTTATAAATTTTTTTCTTCGTCGAAATCATTTTAGATATTAATGCACACTCAATTCAAATCTAAATCAACCAAAACTATCAATTGATTTTGTCGATTTCATATTTTTAGTTTTTTTTTTTTGGAGATCTCATGGTGAAAAGGATTGTTTGTTTTGAAGTATTTTGACTACATATTTTAAATATAATAGTTTTAAAAAATATATATTTGATTTTATAAGAAATAAATTTAATGTAATACTTTAAAATTTTTAGACTGGTTGATTTTCAAATACACCTCAAAATGCACCACTTATTCTATGCGGACACCGGACGGAGAGAATAGTTCAATTTTCTCTCTATCCATAATAAAAGCACAACTCACTGCATTTTTACTGTAGACAAAGAGAACACCGAACAATTCTTCCGTCAAATTTGCACAGATAATAATTCATGCTGTCATTGCCGCCACCATTTTTGGCTACTACAGCCCATCATCATTGCGACAATCATTCTCCTAACTATTGTTGGCGGTCCTCATCACTAGCCTCCAATTATTGTCCATCACTACCATTGATCTTTGCCATCAAATTTGACATTAAATTATTTAGTTTAAACTATTAAATAATTTCAAAATATTTCACATATATTATGTATTTTTTTTTTAAACTAATCAAGGACTCAATTAGCTCCAAGCATATTTTGCTTGTGAATAATTAGTTGCTAGTGATAGTGTACCAGCTTTCATTTTATATATAATTAATTAAAGAATGCCGCATTTAACGTTTAAAGAGTACTACATAGTTGATTAGGAGTTTTAACTAACAAAGCTTTAATATGGTTATGTCGGTGTATGTCTTAATTAGGCCAAATTATTGTGTCCACTGTCCGGATTCGTCCGGACACCAATAAAAACACGCCATATCATTCAAAAATACCGGGGCCCAGTGCATCCGGGTGAGATGACGTCTCTGAATTGGATGTCTGCATGTCATGTGATCGAACCCAATAATTTGCCCTTAATTAGCTCTAAAGTCCCAAAAAATAGTACCACACGGCAATAAATGTTTACTAAAAGAGGTGAAGATCAAAGTGGAAATGTGATAAGTGTACCAGCTTTCATTTTATATATAATTAATTAAAAAATGCCGCATTTAATGTTTAAAGAGTACTACATAGTTGATTAGGAGTTTTAACTAACAAAGCTTTAATATGGTTATGTCGGTGAATGTCTTAATTAGGCCAAATTATTGTGTACTGTGTCCGGATTCGTCCGGACACCAATAAAAACACGCCACGTCTCTGAATTGGATGTCTGCATGTTACGTGACCGGACGCAATAATTTGCCCTTAATTAGCTCTAAAGTCCCAAGAAATAGTACCACACGCAATAAATGTTTACTAAAAAAGGTGAAGATCAAAGTGAAAATGTGATAGAGAATCTCTTCTACATTTAATCTCTACTAAACAAAACATCGCGTTCAAAAAAAAAAAAAATCTAGTTGAATTGAGATGCCGCGTTGAATGAACTGGTTAGATTGAACTCGTGAAGATTTATCGTAGACGGTGATAATGATTGAATAAGAGAAATCTCCTCTAATAGAAGCGAGATCTTTGGGATATTTTCGTATCGATTTAGTTGTAAGGTAGGCTACCGAAAAAAACTTGCAATCTTTCCATCTACCTCGGTTCCTGAATCTGATTAAAGTTACAAAAAAAAACCTTCCTTTTCGAGTCGTTTTCACAAATTAAGAGCAAATTCTAAGTTGCAGAAGATGAGAAAATTAGATCCATGGTACAGTTTGCATATCAGATTAAAACAGTAACGAGTAAGAAGAGAACAAATCAATCAGCAAAACAAGAAGCAAATACAACTTCTTCCGTATGCTTTGATCTCTCTATCCCACAACATGAAACACGAACAAAACCTTAAATTTTACCTCTAACACTCAGATAGATCGCGATCAAAAAAGGCTAGCACAAGCAAATAAAGACAACGGACAGACTAGAAGAAGATAGCCCACGGATCCTAACCTACAAAGGCATCTCAATTCCTCCAGTTGCCGTCGGAATCACCGCCGTTCCTTGGATAGCGAGATCCGCCGCCGCCATAGCCACGGCCACGCCCATAGCCACCACCTCCGCCGCCGCCGCCACGGTTGTAACCTCCGCCACTATAACCTCCGTCACGGTTCTGGTACCCACCGCCGCCGTAACCGCCACCAAATCCGCCATCACGGTTCTGGTACCCACCGCCACCGCCACCGCTGCGGCCACCGCCTCCTCCTCGGGACTGAGCCTCGTTGACAGTTATGTTCCTTCCGTCCAACAACTGACCGTCCATCCCCTTGATTGCGTCCCTCATCGACTGTTCGGTCGCGAAGGTAACGAAGCCGAACCCTCTCGACCTACCCGTCTCCCGATCGTTGATGATCTACAACAGAACACCACAGAAAATAACTTCATATGCTCAGATCTCAAATCCATAAGCAAAAAGGCCACGTTAAAAAAACCCAAAAAAAAAAAAAAAAGATTCATTCAAGATCTAGAACGAGGTCCACACCTTGGTGTCGATGACCTCGCCAAAACTTTTGAAAGCATCCTCCAGAATCCTCTCGTCGGTAGCCCAGGCGAGGCCGCCGACGAATACACGAAACTCAGCTTCAGGACCGGCCATGGTGAATCGAATAAAAACCCTAACCCTAATTCAGGATCAGAAACTAGCGAGGGGGATAGAAACAATCCACCTCGTCGGCCACACGAGCATTCCTCGGCATTTTCGCGGTAAATTTATAAAGAAAATTACGCGCGGTGCTTTGACCGGGGTGTAATCACCGCTCTAGTCGGATTCCTATAGTATTCGTATCCGCAGCCGCCACTCCGGCAAATATTGTTGGGTGGGGGTGCGACAAATTATTATGTGCGGAGCCCGGTCGTCTAGAGGCTAATAAAAATGTGCAGAGTCCCGTCGTCCAAAGACTAATATAAATGTGCTACGTCATCACAAAAGTGCACCGACCTCGGTACCAAGCGCGGTACCTAGCGCTGGTAATGTTTGGTACCATGCTCGGTACCGAACGATATTGAACGGTCTCCAGTCCGATATCCGCACAAAATAATATCTTTTGAAGTGGAGCAGAAATATTATATGAAATGCTGATGTGTTATATTTAAAAGATTAAAATATACTTTTAATTAAAAAAAAGTTGTCAATTGAAATGGACGGGCGGATTTAGGTTGATCCAAAATTGATCAATTAGATTCATTTATTATATTTGTTGCGTGTTAGAATATACGCGGCGATAGAGTTTGTAAATTTGTGTCATAGCGTTGTACGAGTATTCAGCACACAAGCAGAAAAGAGAAGTGAACACCAAGGTTTTTACGTGGAAAACCCGAAAGAGGGAAAAAACCACAGCGCCTCGCCCAGTTGCAAAGTTCCACTAGTATTTGTTTGAAGTACAAAGGTTGATCCGTCTTACAAATAAAGACAATCAATTTACAATCAACTTCTCACAAAGTTACAAAGTTTTGTAAATTCCAGGCGTTTCCCGAAAATCTGGCAGAGTTCCGTCGTCTTCAGGCGACAGGAAGAGCTCCGGCGGTGGTCGAGGAGGAGCTTCTTCCTTCTCCTCCTCTCCTTCTTCTCTCTCTTCACTTGAGTCCCCCTTGTGTAGAATGAATGCTCTATTTATAGTTTTTCTGGAGTGGCACAAGTGTGAGATCATGGGCGAATATGGAGTGGTTTGAATGGACGGCTGATATTGAACCCTTCGATCGTGCACCGTTCGTTGGACATATGGACGCCTTAATGATATCGTAATTTGGTGATCTTGGGCTCGTTAGATTCGTCTCGTCGAGTCGCTCGATTCGAGTATAAGCTCGTTAAAATCAGAGACAGTTTGGTGACTCAAATTGCGGTTTGAACCTTCCAACAGCGCTTCGGGTCCTTGATTCGGACTCATTTGGGCTCGGATTGGGTTGATCTTGGTGTCGTTGGGTTCATATTTCCGAGACGCTCAGTTTGACATTTTTTTTTTTTTTGGACATTTAGGCCAATTAAGACAAACTCACACACACAACGCATACACATAGACTCGAACCTTGAACCTCTTAGTTGGAAGCCTAAGCTCTCAACCAATAGGCCAAGGAGAGTTGTGCGTATTTAGGTTAATTTGAACTCAAAGTTCTTGATTATTGAAGCAGAAAGACATGATAGAGCTAAACAATCAATAGATGATTTCAATTTCGTTTGGGACAATTTTTTTTTTGCTTTTTAAAATAGCATTTTAGTATAAAAAATTTTTGAACTTTAGAAAGTAATAAGAAAGTTGTCCGAAACGAAGCTTTCATTTTTTGAGATTTTGGGAGAGCAATAAATGAACAAAGTTTTCGGAATTATATTAGTAATTTATAATATTAGTATCTAAATTCTCTCTCAATTCATATCTCTTTCATGTGAATGATCTGGCCTTTTTTTTTTTTTTTGGCCTAATTATATTTTGCTAGAGTAATTTTTTTATAAATTTAGATAAAATCCTAAAACATTCCATCAGACGCCCGTGTTAATTCTTTATATTATAGATTGTACTTTCAACATTTAAATGTATTAACGATATTTGATTTCAGTGATATTAAGATTATTGAATTTTTCTCGTCAAGCCGCTAATTTTAAAGGTAAACTATAATTTTTAGAAATTAACAGTTTTCATTCACACTTCAAGTATCTTATTTTGGCTCATTTAAGCTCAATAAAAATATTTTTGGTGTCATTGAACTTATCTAATTTCCTAATTTTAATTTAAATATTATATTGAGATTCATATCTTCTAATTAGATATTATTAATATATATATGGAATGGGGACATCTGTCCACTGCCACTTCATAAGAGGCGTTTTGTGGCATAACTAATCCCTCAGTGAGCTTACCAGCAACCAGCCCCACATGTGCAAGACCCATAGTTATTTTCGTTGGAATGGTTTGTTTTTTATTTTTTTAATTTTCTCTTAATCGTTGGACCATATTTAAATAGCCATTTGATTAGGTGAACATATTTTATCATTTGTTATAAATCTATTTGATACATCATTAAAAAATTATTTTGACCGGGCACAAATCTTAAGGCAAAATCAAGTTGGAAGCTTCAAAAATTAAAATTGAGACTATTTGAACTTTGATTCCTGCAAACTTACAGTCGAACTGAGCATCTTGGAAACACAAACCCAACGAACACCTAAATCTACCCAATCCGAGCCCAAATGAGTCCAAATCAAAGACTCGAGGCACTTTTGTAAGGATCAAACCACAATTTGGGTTACCAAACGGTCTTCAATCGTGACAAGCTTGTAATCGAATCGAGCAGCTCAACAAGACGAATCTAACAAGTCAGAGATCATCAAATTATGATATCATTATGATAGTCAAAGGTCCATTGAATGTTGTATGATCGTATGAATCAAGATCGACCATCCATCCAAACCACTCCCAATTTATCTTTGATCTTCCACTTATTTACAAGTCATGCCACTCAAGAATTCTATAAATAGAACAGCATTTCCTCTTAAAAAAAGCCAAGAGAGAAGAAGAAATATAAGGAAGAAAGCTCCAGCCGCCTAGCTCCTCTTTGACCGCTGGAGTTATGTCGCACCACCGCCAGGTTCTGTCGAACCAACACTAGACCATCCAAGGACGTGAAAGTACCACCCTAATCTGGAGTGCCCCTTGATGCTGAAGTGCCACTATCGGACCACCGCTTGACATCGGACTGATGTCAGACAACTACTTGAGGCTCGGACTTCTGTTGGACCACCACCTAACGCCCAGAGTTCTACTGGAGTACTGTCCTACTACTACAATCTTTCTGACCCCGGTTTCCTGTCAACTAAGATCTTTCTGACCCCAGTCTCCTGCAGACTACGATCCTTCCGACCTCCCTCGCCAGAATATGGTCTTTATACCCCCAGTCTCCTGTCGACTATGGTCCTTCTGATCTCCCTCGCCAAACAACATTCTTTTTGACCATACTCTCCTGTCGACTACAGTCTTTCCGACCTCCCTCGCCAGACAACGGTTTTTCCGACCCAATCTCCTGCCGATTATGGTCCTTCTGACCTCCATTGCCTGCTATGGTGACCTGCCTCGCCAACTATGGTCTTTCTAACCCTGGTCTTCTGTCGACTATGATCCTTCTGACCTCCCTCGCTAGACAACGATCTTTCTAAGCTCTATCTTTTGCTGACTATGGTCCTTCCAACTTCCATTGCCTACTACGATCTTTCCGACCTCTGACATATCGACTATGGTCCTGCCAACTGAACAAATATGTTTATGTTGATGCACTATATATGATGTATATTTGTAACATCAAGCCAAAACATTCTCCCAATGAAGGGTCTCATTTGTAATCAAACTGTGAATACTAGTGGATTATTTCAAACTGAGTTAAGCCCCGTGATTTTTCCCTTTATCAGGAGTTTCCACGTAAAAACTCTGTATCTCTTATGAATGTTGCACCATCTCTATTATCTGTGTGCGTGTTGGATCTTCCTGCAATGCTAAGACATTAAATTATATACTTCTCTACCGCTGCGAATGTTTTAGGACGCAACACTATTAATTTAGATTTCATTTGTAATATTTTTCTTAATGTTGTTTAAAATATATATTTTTTAAATTTAATTCAAATAATTTTTATGTTAGAAAAATATTTTAAAATTAATAAAAAAAATTATCCCATTCTAATGATTAGCATATAATGAATGATTCATTTCCTCCCTTAGCGTAGACCAGTTCTTCATGGTCTAGGTGTAGTCACTCCTACGTCATCAACAGTTCCATGGTGTTCAACCCTTTCATCTTTGCCGACTAAAATGATCCATTCTGAAAAGAACTTTTAAGAAGTTTCTAGAAGATGACGATAATTTAAAAAAAAAATGCTATGTTTATTATTATTATTTTTTTTTGATATATTCACACTAAAGAAAATAGGAAGAGAGAAAGAATGAATGTAATAATTTGTAGGATTACATTTTACACTAAATTATTTTATGCTATCAACATTAACAAAAATGTGGCGTGAAAGAAATAATAGGAGATTTTCTACCATTGGGAGAAGCCCCATTGAGCTTAAAACTGATATTATTCATGCGATTCGAGCAAAAGTTAGTAACTGGAAGAGTTTTGAGAAAATCAAGCCAATATTTCCGGAAATCCTGGACTAAGACCTTTTTGCTGACTATCCCGGCGCGTGAATATTTTGCGGATTTTAGTGTTTTTCATGCTCAGTATGTGGAGCATCTTACTGGAAGACCGTTATTTGACAGTTCAACCTTCTTTTTGATTAAGATTAATGCATGGAATTTTCTGCCCAGCTCCTCTTCCGCTGGAATTTTGCAGTTGATTTATTCTGGGACAATGATGAGCAGGTCTACATCTCCTGCGTCTCCTAGGAAGGTCTTCCTGGCAACCAGGTTGACGTATTTTGGGCACTGCGACGGCCCTGTTATTTTTCTGGGCAACCGGTGCCTATGTGACATTCGTGGTGGGCGGTTCTTGATGATTGGCTCTGATGCCTTTGAGATGTAGACCATTTTCCTGAGTCCTTAGGATCTTTTCCTTTTTAGAATTTTCTTTGGGGGTTTTGGTATAGTTGTTTTTCTATACTTGTAATTTTGTTTTTCCTGTAACTTTTGGTGATTAATACAAGGGCTTTGCCCCAATTTTTCCCAAAAAAAAAACATTAACAAAAATTTATTTAAGTAGTAGTTTTAAATA